TCGAACAAACAAAAAGATTCACTCAAACCACGTTAAAAACGTTTTGATAAGAAGTGTTTTTTTTTTGACATTTTTCTAAAATGAACTTAGAAGTTTCATTCAATTGTTCAAGTTCGTTCAGTAAAAGATGAAGTGAGGCATTGTTAAAATTTCCATGTAGTGCTAAAAATACGAAAGAGTGACCAGAAGGGTGCATGAGTTTTCATATAAATCACATATTTTCGGATAACATTCAAACCAACTGAAAGGGCGAACAAAATGAACAAGCGAATGAAGTCCAAAAAAAAAACACTAACTTAGCCATAGATTCAGATCAAAATCATATGAATTTCTCTATCAATTTCTTTATCAAGTAACATTTTAACATTTTTTCATTCATTTGTGAATTGTCAATATCTGGAATTTTTTGGAGATTTCATCTTATTTCGATCAATTTAGGTCGACTTCATTGATTCTGATGCATTTCGTGCAATTTGAATCCAATTCAAAGTATTTTGGCTATTTTTTTTTCTTCTAAACACGTGTAGTGAGTCATTAACATCCTTGCAAAAGATAACAAAAAACGAAAATGGGATAGCAAGCAAAAAAAAATTATACTTTTTTTCTGCACAGTTCTTAAGTCACCACCTTAAAAAAATTGAACTGTTTGAAGTTCTGCACAGGCAGCGTTCGAATAGTCCTTTGAAATCATTGCCAAGGAACGAAGACTCATTTCAATTGAATCTCGGCTGAATTGGTTTCGATGCATTGCGTGATTATTGAATAAAATGAAATAAATTGAATGGTCTTGAAGACCAGGCCTTTGATGAATGTTCCGACCGTTTTTCGATAGTTCATAATAAAAATCCCATCTAGTTTTGCCAAAAAAAGCCTTCTTTTCGCTTCAGTTGATCAATATTGATAAAGAAAAATATGCATTTGTCTTCGAGTGAATTGAATTTTCTCTTTAGCCCTTTCTTTTTTTACTAGTGATGATACTTATGATTATAATCATATATCCGGAAAATCGATTTCGATTTATTTTTTCTCACAAATCTGTGATCTGGTCTCGATTATATAAGCAAGTTCCCGTGCTTGAAAAAAAAAATCAACGATAATCCATGGATAATGCGATGGCTGCATTATCGTTGAATTGCGTCGGCATATTGAATCTCAATTACTAGCCGAGCAACAAAATACATCAGCGAGTGCAAGAAAAAAAGGTGCTGAAAAGTGCGAGAAGAAGAAGAGGCTAACAGCAGCAGCAGCAGCCGCAAAAAAATATATAATCATAAACATAAAATAAAGGCATAATAAAGACAACGATTTATGGTACTTCTGATTGGGTTGCGCTAATTGAAAATGATTATTATAATTGGAAATTTATTTTAACATTTCGTTCTCAAGACGTGCGAGCAACTCGTCGAAATTGACGAGTGAGCTGCGAGAGAGCAGCCGCAGCCTAAGCGGCACAAAATCTATCCAATTGTAAGTTGTTCGTCTAGTGCGGCGGCAAATTGAATACTCGCATTGAAAATCGTTATGCGAATTTAATTATAGTCGATGCAATTTTTGCACGCTTTTTTTTCCATCGATTTTTTTCAATTCAAACAGAATATACAAAGTGACTTTTTTGCCGCGATTTTTTTTTTCGGTTTTAAATAGTTGCATATTCATGGGCATCTTTTTGAGTACATTGTATAAGTGTGTTTATCATTGAAAACCGTTCGTTTGTTTTTTCTTCGTTCAATTCAAATCGAGATTTCGAGAGTGAAATAAAAACTGAACAACAATAACAAATTAGACACCTACTGACATTTTGCCATGACGTTGAAAGGCGATGAGTCAGGCGTTTTTTTTTTATTTCGGTTTTTGTTATTTTGAATTGGGAAAACTTCAAGTGACAGGATTCAGATTGATCAAAACAAAGCCATATAACTTTATTTCGTCGTCGTCGTCTTTGTTGTTGATGATGATGTTTACTTCAATCAAAGTGTCACTTTGTCCCGTTCTGAAAGCGGGTTCGTCTATTCTATCAAAAGAGTCATTCATTCAATGAATTTTGTTTATTTCAAGTTGATAACGGAACTGATTTTTTTTCTTCTACTTATTCTTCTTTCGCATTGCGCTCAAATCGAAAAAGCAACCAGTTTTAAATTACCCCTTTTTTTATTTGCGCCGATGTGTGCTGAATTCGAATTTTCTACTGCATTCGACACAATATTGCAATAAATTATAATGCTGAACACATACAATGTATCTCTTCATGAAGTTTTTTCCTGCTAGATGCCCGCCAAATTGGTTGAGAGTCCGCAAAATTGCATGATGCATGATCCGTTGAAACTGGAGAATATCGACGCGAATTCGACAAACTTCGATGCATCCCAAATAAATCTCAGAATTTGGCTTTTCGTTAACTAGTCACACCTCTAAACGTGCACTGGTCATCACTTCATGAAATGCTGTGCATCGCACGTGAATTTATTGATTTTGCATTTCGACGAGATATCTCGCATGAATACCGTTGAGATCATTCGTTGGCTCGTCTCTGTCTCTCACTCGCTCTCTCGCTCTCCGCACACCATGACAACTTGACGACTTAATGATGATGCCCGTTGATAAATTGACACGATTCGCATTTTGCAACATAAATCATGTGCAAATCACACATAGCCACACGCCCCTTGGCATATTCTCGTAAAACCCAAAGCGACTGCATCTCAACACTCACTCGACTATCGCATTGTTGCGCTTTTTTTTTCTCTTCTCATCCTCACGTACATACGAAATTGGTGAAGTTTTTCGTATTAAAACATCGCATTTAAAAAAAAAATTTGACTTAAGTTATGCACTTTGTGGGTCTTTTTTCCGTTGAATTTTGTCTTTCGAGAGGATTCAAAACTATTTTTATTACTTGAGTGTGCCAAAAAATACTTGGACTTTTATTTTTATTAATCATTAAAATGCAAATCATTCCAAAAATAATAATTGATTTCACTCAAAACACCCAAACGATTGTAAAATTGCTTTTCTCCGATGATTATCAATTCGATTGGAATGAAAAGAGTTTTTTTTTCTCAATATCTTCTAACAAAATTTCGATAATCGCCTTTATAAATAGTGAATATTAGGGGATTTTTTTTCATATTTTCGCAGAGTTTAAATGGCAAAAATTGAGAGACGAAGTCAAAAAAAAACTCAAATTCAAAGACATTGAAAGAAGACATCATTTGAATCCACAAATTGAAGATTAGATATGGTTTTCATAATAAATAATTTAAACCACTTTTTCGGCCATTCAATGCTATTTTTGGTACCGAGTTTGTTTTTTAATTGTTTAAATTATCTCAAGTCTTTAGGTTGCGATAACGGCGATTCTTTTATTTACATTTCAGTCGATTGTTTCCATAACTGCACACCGATTCTTCATCACAAACACATTTAGCCATCAATTTTGGCCCAAATTTGCATTGTGACCCACATTGTTACGTGGGAGGAATGAACGGAAATTCGGTTTTGTTCAATAAAAATTAAGAGATCGATCTCTTCTTGATATCGCTTTCATGTTGCTATTAATAGTAATCAATTTACATTTTCATTTTTTAACTCGGTTTGGAAATTAAATTAATCGAAATTTCCAAAAATAATAAATTTTGTTTTGTTCATTTTAATGAAATTTTTTAAAAAAAGATTTAAAGAAATGGAAAATAAATTAAAAAAAATTTAAAATCGTTATGAAAACGACATCAACAAACTAAAAATAGTAGCGATAATCTTTCGTTTATTTTTCATTTTATCGAAACACGTGATGAAAAGAGACAAAAAATTTGATGAAAAGAAATGTTTTTTTTTTCATATGAAAAAGAATTCTCAAAGAAGTGGTAATGATTCAACAGCGATGACTCTTAATGTTGGTCCATTTCTTGTCTAAACCATCTCTTAATGATTCAACTTGTATGGTCGTAATTTGCCTGGCATATCTGTTTGATATCGCACACAAGATTAGAAGATTAGACGATTTTAATGATTATAACAAAAACTAAAGCGTAGAAGCGAAATTAGAAGATAAACATTTGCAAATGGCATGTATAATAAAATAACATGTGGCCATAACATAAAATAGACACGAGTTCACACGAGCTACGTTCAAATCACATAATCAAGAGATGAGCTTCTTTGAATCATCAAGAAAAAAATGATCTCAGTGAGAAAGAAAGAATTCAATGTCGAAGAGAAAGAGCGAGCGAGCGAGAGAGAGACTGAGCCAGAGAGAGGGAGAGAAAGAGATAGAGTGAGGGAAAGAGTCGCTCTCGAGAGTATATGCGGAAAAGCGAAAAAAAAACTAAAAGAAACAAGATACACGTCCGATAATTAGGAAATGATCAACGCGAGATAAATATTGTTCGGTGATTTGTTCGCCAGGTTTTCTCTCTTTGCTCTGCTATGACTACCAAAAAACCAACCAACCGATCGATCAAAAGAAAGAAAGGAAAAAAATGAACCGTCTCTGTGAAATAAACGAAGAGATGTGTTGCGGTTTCATTGTGGCATATTCACATTATAAACCGGCTCAATTGAAAAGTCGTGCAAATGAAGCGCGCGAGAGCGAGAAGAGAATGACGGTGGATGAGAATTGGAGTCGCGGTCGTGGTTGTACACAGAAATTTTTTGTGTTTTCGGTTGATTGTTCGGTCACACCGTTTACATGAGTCAGTTGAAGACGAGAAAAGGCCCGAAAAAGCTGTGCATTTTGTGTTGTCCGCTATCGCGCGCGTCCAACTTCAGGCATACACGTGAGAACTAGTGTTTTATTTCTCTGTCAGCGACACAAAGAGCGAAAGAAATGCTCAAAAATCTCAACGAACAAGAATAAAAAAAAAACTTGTAAATTAATAAAAGTGTCAGTTAATTACGATCAATTCGAAACAGTGATTTTATTAATTGAATCTCTTTTTTCATTTTTTTTTTCTCCTGTTGTTGTTGTTGTTGATTTCATTCTCCTTTTCGTTTCTCTTTTCCAGGTGAAGTGTTTAGCAGCTCACAGAGACATTGGTGCTGCCGAACGGAACGGAGCTGAATAGAGCTGAGCATTGATAAAATGCAACCGTGATAAAAAGGCAAAATTAATTGTTATTTGAATTGGGTGCTCGGAAATTGTGTGACGCAGTGTGCATATTGGTTATTGTGTGTGTTCATTCAAATTGTTCTCTCGGTGCAGAAAAAAGAGAGAGAGAGAGAAAAAAAAACCGCTAAAAAAGAAGCAAGAATGTGTGACACAGCCCAGATTTTTTCAAACCGATAATGAAGCGCTCATTTTCAACGGTGATCAAGTCACGACATATAGTTTATTTTAATTGGATTAACGAATGAAAACAGCAACAACGACGACGACGAAAAAGATTAAAAAATCAAATAAATTGTGTATGAGGAAAAGCGAGAGCGTGCGCGCGCCCAACACATCACCGATTCCGAATTTTCATCAATGCAGTGGTTGAATACAGTGCATGACACAAGAAAGAGAGGGAGGCTATATGAAAAGAAAGCCATTTATGTATCGCCACAAATATTACCTCAATGTAATGCGCCCGGGGAAAAAAAACGTCGATGAATTTGCCAACACTCCTACGTGTGTGATTTTGTTCGTTTTTTTTTCAAGTTTTTATCGGTAAATTGGTAATTTAACGGTTTCGAACAAACCAGGCGACATCACCTGGCGAACTCACAGTGATCTTGGCAAAAGTGTGTGTGTGTGTGTATGTGTGTGTGCAAACATTGTAACATTGTTTAGTGGATTGGTTTTTTATCGTCCGTGCTGAAAAAAACATCGAAATTTGTAGTAATTAAAATAAAATAAGAGAATAAGAGGATCGTGGAAAATATATATATATTGCAAATCACACCGTGTGAAAAGAAAAAAGGCGCAGTACGTGGCGCTTTTTTCCATTTGTGCAGCGAAAAAAGAGAGAGAGAGAGAGTGAGGTACAAGCAGGAAAAATGACATCAGTTCGAATGTAATACCGAAAATTGCTGTATTTTGCATTCCTTTTGGCTTATAACGAGAGTAAAACGAATACGAGTGAGAAAAGGCGCCGACACAACAGCGAATACAACATTAATAATGCTCAAGCGATGAGATGAAAATGAGAAACAATCGGCTGTTTCTTGGAGTTGTTCTATTCGCATTTAGAATAAGGTAAAACGCATTCCATTCCATTTTTTCTTCGTCTTTTTCATTTAGAATATAAGTCGGAGTGTGGTTGTTTTATTTTTGCTTGTATCGTACACAAATTTATCGCATAGAACGAAGTTGGCAGTCACTTTTTTACTGAAGCCATTCCAATGATTTATTTTATTTATTTTCATTTCGATTTTTGACATTTTTGTTTGGATTTGGTTCGATTTCTTCATTTTTTTTAAATTCTCGCTTTTGTTCAAGCCCTTGAGTTTCGTTCGATTCCTTGTTTTTTGTTCGACTCCTTGAGTTTTGTTTGATTTCAAAGCTTGAAATTTTTTTTAGTTCCATTCCTTTGAGATTTGCATTTCGACTCTGCTCAAATGAAGTTCTTTTGGATAAAATTCAAAATCTTGGAATGCCCCATTCAAAGCTTGATAAAACGTAGAAGAAATGATCTTAAAACAGAAAGAATCCGATTGGTTCAAATCTTCGATTGTTCAATCTTAGTTATGCTCGGTTTGCCGGCGAAACGCAAACCGATCCGATTTACAATTACAAAAATTGTCGATTTTACGCCACCTTTTCAACTGCAACACTGAAAGTGTTATTCAGTTATACCTGTGTGTATGTGTCTCCCGGGCAATGAGGTGTTTTTTGCCTTGCAATGTGCCGCCACCTTCGTCGCATCCGTCGCTGCTGCCGCAAATCACGCAACACATACGAACGCATTTCAGCTCCATTTCCCACAAAAGGTCGTGTTATAATCGTCCCGATCCTAAAGATCACACACCAAACTGTAAACACGACACACAACAGCAGATACACAAAATGTAGATGAAACGAAAAACCACTAACGAAAAAACGTGACTGTAAAAAATGATTATTATGAGTGGAAAAATGCATAATTGTTTACGAAATCCTGTGCACAACGAGAGTATTTTTTTTGTACTGTGTTGATGCTGAAAGAGCGATCTCGCGAACGATGGCAAGAAAGAGGACGAGAGGGAGAGAGCAAGAGGGAAAGAAAGACAGAATGAACGAAAAAGTGATAAATTATAGGTGAGTGAGTGAGTGAGTGAGAAGGCGTTGGAGGGAGATGGAGAGAGAGAGCGGAAGAGAGCAAGAGAGAGCGAAAAACGAAACGGCGCAGATTAATTTCGACCCAAAATCGCGGGCGCGCTCCATGGCAATTTGTACATGTTGTCACATCCGATGAATATCAGGAGATAAATGCGTGTGAACAGTTGAGGTAGACTTTTTTCCGGTGTAGAATGAACACAAGACAAATTGTGGTGCAACCGAAAATAAGGTTGCATTGGTTGAATAAGATAGCTAAATTATCCCTTTGTGAAGTCGAGTTTTTCGATAAAGTTCAATTCCGTTGTTTTACTAAAAAGAAAAAACAAAAGAACGAAAAATTTAAAAGAACAAAAAAAAAAACCGTTCGCTGCAGTCGCAGAAATGATTAAAATGGACACTTGAGTAATAACAGTTATCGATCGGTTCATTTTTCTCGCCAAATATCAGCTAACTCGAATTGAATTCGTCGATAGCGAATTCGAGTTGGCAATGGACAATGCTATTCGATCGACGATGTCATTCATTATTTCGGTCTTGACATCCATAGAAATTGTATGATCGAATCGACTGGTTTGTCGTCGACATATTCATTTTCAAGTCAACACAAAGTGTAACTACTGTACGGAGCTTCGGCTCGTACAATGTACACACCGCGAACAATTGCAATTTTTGAAACCAGCATACAAATAATGATGGAGTTTGCCACACACACACACACAACCAAGTCACCAAATAATATCGGGCTTAAATGTTGTTCAATGGCATTGTTCGCATTAGAAACAACACTGAGTTTGACAAAAAAAAACACGAGCGAGTGAGTGCAATTGAGACAATGTAAGGATAGCTGATGCATCGTGCAGAATGCATCAAAAGATGTGGGCGTACAACATCATAGTTTCTATCGTTGCGTGCTCTTTTCTCGGTTAAGATTTAACCTTTAGCGTTTTATTTTTACCCGGGCAGAAAAGCGCGCGAGCACCACATAAACCATCTGAAATGCCTCATTCAATTTCTTTGCTTTCAGCTGGCCGTTTTTGTAATTAGAAATAGAAAATGGTCTCGTTCGAGGCATGATGCCGGGCTAACTCTTTTTTTTTTGTCTCGAAAAGAGGCAATTTTCAAGCGATAAATTTAAATGAGTCATAAAATGGATCCAAAAATAAATTATAAAATGGACCATTTGGCCCATATATCGATTGGGTCGTAAATTTTTTTCCATTGGGTCCGGCGAAAATTATAGTGATCTGAAAAATTCAGACGAAGAATTATAATAAGTTCGATAATTATCGGGGAAAAAAAAGCATAAGAATTTCAAAATAAAAACACAAAAATCGATCCACACGAAACAAACTCGGTTGAAAACTGGAGATTTTATGCATTCGGTTTGAGTCAAACCGTTTTGACGTTATGCGCGCTTCGAACGAACATTTTTGATCATATGGTTCCCATGATGACGACGATTTGATAGCATGGTTTGCTTTATGTGTGTAGATACATCAGGTAAATATTTTGTGAAGTTTTCTTTCTTTTGGGTCGCTCATGATTCATTCTCACTGTCGGCAACGGCAGCCACAGCGTAGCAGCAACAATCTCGATCAACATTCAGCCCATTCATCATTGCGTTTGTTGTATCTCTCTGTGCCGTCGCTGGGTAAAGCTCGATTGAAATATCACTGAGTGAGGTTTAAATCAAGCGCAAACGATAGTCTTTAGCTTGCGGCCTGTGCAAAAACAAGACACATATCGCGCAATGGTGACGTCAATTCCGACCGATGTAGTTGCAGGGCAATTGTGTTGCGCTTTGGCAAAATGTCGTCGAATGATACGGTTTTTTTATTGTGCCTGGCCGCAGCAGCACAGATGAAATTCACTTTCGCCATCATCAATGATTGCACTTTTGCTAGTTCACACTCACTGCTTCTTCCGCTTATGGTTTTTTTTAGATGGTTTCTGGCTCTTTCACTTGCTCGTTTCTTTTCTCACCCGCTCTATCCCTCTGTTTCCCGCTCTCTAGCTAAAGCACTCTATAACCCATTCTCGCCTTCTTGCTCTAGCTCTAGCTCTTTTGCTCCCAACCAAAGATTAATTCCAACCAAAGATCGATTCAATCAAATAAATGCTCGCTCACTGACTCTTTCTCTCTAATTTTCCCTCTAATTTCCTCTATTGCCCACCGTGCTCTATCTTCAAATGTCTAGTTCACTTCGCCAATTATGCACATAAATGATAGATTCATCATTTGCACCGAATGTGAAATAAATCCTCAGCAATTACATTGTCACACAGTCAGCGAAATTCGAATTGAATTTGACTTAAATGGCTGTATCGTGGCCGAGGCGGGCCGACAGTGACTTTTGTCATTTCCAATACACTTAAGTCGCAGGAGAAAAAACAACAACAAATCAATCGACTATTACTTGTTCTGTCTCTGCGCAAAACACCGTGTAAAATAGAGTTTGGGCGATTATTATTAATTCAGTCGGAGAGCTATAAACAAAGCAATAACACAGAGCTATTGAATCCATTGAATAATATTGACAAAATGGCTTGAGGGCATTTATTTTTATGCATGACCACCATAGAAAGAGGCATAAATCAAATTCCAAACGATCATTGCAATTCCAAATGTTTCATGCCATGACTATTGCGCGTGTGCGCACGCTCGCGCCCCTGCTCTCTCTCTCTCTCTCTCTCTCTATCGCTCGGCTGCTTCAAAAAACTGGATATTTTGCATTCAAAATTCGAGTTCTATTTTTAAAAATGTTGCACATTCACTTGCGAATACTTTCGATAGCGACAAATTGTGACAGAGTGAGAGAGGAGCAAAGAGAGACAAAGGAAGAAAGACAGAGAGAGGCACTCAGAAAGAGAGAGTGGGAGAGTGTGAGAGAGATAGACGAAAATTTGATGCTCAAATTCGATTACGTGTTGTTTTTGTCATGTAATTTGACATTCAGATGGAAATTGGAGAGAAGGACACACAGTAGAGAAACAAAAGACACATAAGCGACAAGCCGCCACTCATTTTTTTTTGGGTTATTGTATCTATTGTGCCCATCGTTATTCCTTGAAGAGGTAACAAAAAACTAAAGTCATTTGAGAATTTGCAAGATGCAACATACTTGCGGCACGTACATTCATTAAATGAGCATGCGACTTTTAGACGATTTGTTTGCTGAAATGATCATCAGTGGCAAAGACCCAATGGAATGAACATGAACAAAATGGGCAGATGTCTTGTTTGCGATAATGTTACACAGTTTTCTGTTTGCAGCCCAAACTCGAGATTAAATGCATTGAATTACACGTGCGCTGGAACACGATAAAACATTTGCCAATTTTATTTCCGACAAGGATTTTTGGTCGAAGAGGGCCGTTCCTCTTTCAAACTTTTTTGCAGCAAATTTTTTTGGTATTTTTTCGTCATTCCAAGGCTCCGGATTTTACTAATCTTCTTTTTTTCTACCAAATTTTCTATAAATATTTGCTATACAAACTTGGATCAAATGATTTTGAACAAACTTTTTCTTTACTAAGCTTGCTGTACAGTTCTCTTAATTCAATTTTTTTTCACATCGATTTTTTGTTTGTTCATTCCTTACGATCCTGAACAATTACCAATAATCATCATTATCAAATTCCTAGCCGTTACTTTGTTTCGTCTATTTTGTTCCGACATTTTTGACTCGGAGAACAAAAGAGAAGTAGGTAATTTTAGCATCGAGCATGAGACGTGGCAACACACACACACAGTGTGTTAGCGCACATAAAACACACTCTCGCATTGGCGATGACACATTTCTTGTTAACACACAGGAAAAATTGTGTGTGATGACGGTGATCACAGCAACAGTGGCATCAGCAACAGTAGAAGAATAAAAAGTAAAACATTGTGTGAATTCACACAGATACAATGGCAACCAACTGAGAGAACGTTATATTTTATAATTACATTTTGGCCAATTTCAAAGCGCGCACAATTCTTGAGTCACATTCATTGAGTATGAATATGATATTGTTTTGTGGAAGAGCGAATGAACGAAAAAAAAGAAACTACAGTTTTGTGTGTGAGAGCGATCCCCTCTATAGAAATCTCAGCTCTCTGAACTTCCTTTGTGTGTGCGCGAGCGAATTCATAGAATGTGATGAAAAAAAAAAAACCAACAACAACAATCGTAACCTCATATTGATGCGCCACTGTAACAATTTAATTTATATCCTGAGCATTCTTTCTCTTTGCTCCGACTCTTTGTCGCGTTTCACTCCGGCTCAATCACTCACTCGCTCTTGCTCATTTATGTGCGATTGTGACGAATGCAGTCATTTCTGTCGACCGAGAAAGAGAGTGAGGTGAAAAGAAAGAAAGACATATAGAAAGAGCGAGCGACCGAGCAAGAGAGAGACTTTTTGTTTAAATATCCATTATAATGTGAGTTCGCTTGTTGTTAGTTCTTTTTTTTTTGTCTTTTCTATTTTGCCCATAAATTCAAAGCCCAACGAGAGAACCAACCAAAGACGAAAAAAAAAACTGAATGAAATGAAAGAAAGAAACAAAACCAAAGGCAACGAAGGCAGCACTCGCGCTCACTGAAAATAATGAAAAGAAATAAGAGGAATTAAACATGTACATTTCATGAAAAACATGATATATGAGACATTAAACATGATCTTTTTATTATTTGTTATTGTTATCGTTGCTCTCTCACTGTGTGTGTGTGTGTGCGTTGTTGTTGCTTTTGGTTGTTATTATTTTTTTCTTCCTCTACTCATTTTCTTTTCAAATTTTTAGTTTTCGAATGTTTCGGGTTTTTTGGTTGGATAAAATTCGGGTCGCTACAATTTTGGTAAACAGTTGGATTCAATGGAAAAGGTTCTGTTTGCATGTGCCTGGTTTGGTGCTTGACAACGACAACGACGTCGACGGCGACAAGCGTTTTTTTGTTCTTTGTTTCTCTCAATGGGCGCTATGGGTTTCCAAACCGAAGATCGTTCGATTTGCCACGGCATATGCCCTCAAGGAAGTCACAATGTATTTTTTTTTCCCTGTTCATTCGTGTTTCGAATCGAGCATTTCTCGATTAAAATATTCGCTTGAGATGACAGATAATTGGCTCGGGTTTGAATGCCGGATGACAGGTCTCCTTTTTCAACAAGCACATCGTCGTCGTCTCAATCTCAAACATTTAATTATTCTAGTCGATGAAAACTAATTATTATTTAAAACCTCATCAAGATAAAGGTTTTTGTTTTCCGTTTTCTCTTGTTGTTGTGATTTAAAAGACGAGATGGAAAATGAACGGTACATTTTTCGGTTAGAATGTCTCTATTTGGGCTGATGCGAACGAGTGAATGGACTAGAGAGACCACCAGCTAGGCCAAACGTCGCCGATTTGTGACTTATGTCAATCGCACACTCTTTTCATCTTCATGTGACTTTCTTTCGACATTAACCTCTTTCATTAACATGGGAATTTTTCGCCGTTGGTTTTCGGTGTGAGTATGTTTCGGTTTCGTCGTGTGTTTCTCTCATCGTCATCGTCGTTGGGAATAAATGTGCTGCTTTGCGATCGCGATCAACGTTGTTTTATTGCCATTTCAGCACTTGGGATTAAAGCACATCAAACCGTCGTCGTTTGTTGGCGTTTAACTCTTTTTTTCCCCCCATTTTCTCTATGCCGCGCACGATGTCTCACAGAATTGACTGTGTCTGTATGTTTGACATTCGTTCTTGGCTATGGCACACAAGAACTGAATCCACACTCGAGTGTGTGTGTGTGTGCTTTTGCCATTAAACCAAATGTGCAATGCTCTGATGCCTCTTATGGCATATTATTCCAATTTATGATAATCGGCGTTTAAATGTTGTATTAATTGAGTTATTTAATTCGACTCCCCGTCGCGTAAACACATCGTCATCGCAGGTGGTATTAAAACATTTTGTTCCCTCAGCTCTCACTCTCTCACCCGCTCGCTCGCCACACAATCGACATCTGTATCGCAATCTCGTTGTTTTTATTTCGCTAAACTGTCCGTATGGGCACAGCTAACATTGAATTCACAATTTCTTCACGATCCATCGCGGGTTTTCTCTCTCGCGCTCGCTCGCTCGCTCGCTCTCAGTTTTGGTCTCAATCTCGGTCTTGGTTCCTGTACTTTGAGATTTCTTTTTCTGTCTCTGTCTCCCTCTCTCTCTTTTGTCTCTTTTACTCTCTCTCTCTCTTATCTCCCTCTCCCACAGACTCACTGTCTTCTTCTTGCATTCAGATCTCTCTTTTCCTCCCAGCCTATCGTTTAACTCGTTCAGACACACTTTTTCTCTCCGGCGACTACAAAATTCAATTGTTTGCCCATTTCCAGGCGGTCGCGATTCACATCGGCGATAACAATAAATTCACCTTTTCAGCAGAGTCTCACCATAAATAAACATCATCGTGGTCGGTCAATATTGAATTTTTACAATGTTCACTTTTTTTTTGTTCCAATATTGACCATGGCAATCCGTAATGGTGAATTCAATGTGAAAATATTCCGTTTTACTTATTTTTTTTACCAATCCAATGAAATCGCATGATTCAATCGAACAAATAAATTATGAAAATACACGACAAATTAAAAATTTAATGGAAAAAAAATGTAATAAAACAGACAAAAAAATCGGTATTATTATTCGATGGAATTCGCAATTGTTCCACGGGTTTAAAATACAAGTAAGCAATGGGAATAACTAAATGAAATGAGATAAAAAGAAATGACATAGCCGCACGGAAAAGTAAAATGATGAAGAATTTATAAATATATGTGAATCGAAAAAAAGGACAACAAATCAATATGGAATTTAACAAAAAAAATGACAAAAATTGCACGGAATGAAAGGATCGGCGATTTAAAATGGATTTTTTTTTTGCTCATTTCAGAATCGCATGCAGTTTTGCGTCATCGATAATTTGCAGCCGAGTTCCTGGTTTAACACCAGCACAACGGCAACTGTGCAGCGAAGCACCCGATGCATTCATTGCACTGGGCGATGGCCATATGCTTGGTGCCGAAGAATGTCAACATCAATTCAAAGGTAATTTTAACGAAATTATTTCGATTTTGACATTTTTTTTTGTCTTTCCTTTGAAAATTTAATGAAGAAAACGCAATTGCAATCGAAAGATTTAAGAAAGAAACCCGCCATTTCTCATTGATGATCGATAAAAAATGACAATTGATTTAATGGTCGGAGACAAAGTAATTTCATGAATTTTGGTCCAATTGCGAAAATTGGAAGAAGATGTGAAAATGAGCCATGACTAAAGAAATGACAAAAATCCTACTGTTCAGAGAGTGTAGTTTTGCTGCTGAACAAGCATGAGCTAAGCTGAGTTTGCTGACTCAGGCACCTGAAGCGTCTTTTACCAGGTTTATGGTGCCAAATTTTCATTTGTAGCAAAGTATCTCTTCCAAAGATCCACGTTGTTCATCAATTTTACTAAGCTAAAACTTTGCTAGCAATGAAAGCTAGCTCACATAAACCGTGAACGCGGTAAAATAATGCTTCAGGCACCTGAGTCATCAAATTCACCCAAGCAAAAATTCACACTGAATCGACGTTGCGTTAATACATATCTGACACTGTTCTCACACGGTTTTGAACGTCAAACCGTGTGGCTATAGTATAGTAGAGTGTGAAGTCGTTTGACACCATTTTTGATGTCAAATAACCGTGTGGATGCAGTTTATGTTTTTGTATTGGACAGTGTGGAAGTCCGCCACACTGTTTTACATTTGAAACCATGTCGCCGAAGTGTATGACCGTTGCGTTATCATGGCGAATTTTGAAACCATTTTTGGTGTCGACTCTTGATACCCGAACAAACATCTAGGGGGTAAGAACACAAGCACTTGAGACGAATTCGTACGAATATTCGTGAATTCTTGTGATTGTGTATACGAGACATTCGCAGCGCAGTGAGTTTACAACAACAATAACAAAGCCACGAACGCATGAATATATGCGAATACACACGAATGACACAACTTGTTCCTAGCCCCTAGACAAACATACACTGCATCCACACGGTTATTTAAAATAAAAAATGATGTCAAACGGCTTCACACTCTATTATACTATAGCCACACGGTTTGACGTTCAAAACCGTGTGAGAACAGTGTCAGATGCGTTAACGCAACGTTAATTCAGTGTGAATTTTTGCTTGGGTCAGTTCATTTCAGGCATGCTCAGCAGCAAACTAACAATCTGTGATTGAAAAAGAAAAGATGCTCGATTTTGAAGAAAAGCTATTGATTCATTCGTCCAGTTCAAGACAATAACTTCGAAAATTGAAGAAAAATCAAGGAAAAATTATGAAAAAACATTTTTCGAAATAATTTCTGAAGGTCTGAAAAGAAAAATCGCCCTTTTGGGAAGGCGAAAATCGGGAAAATGGCTTTCGAAAACGAAGAATAAATTTCATCACTAGAATTGATTTTTTTGACTCATCATTGAATTTTGAAGAATGATTTAATGATATTACACTAGATAGAATTGATAATTTTTTTTTTGACCCCATCATAAATTTTTGGTCTGACCCTATCTGCAATTTTTTGTGTGTCAGAATCTTTAGTTACATTCAAAATTGTCGAATTGACAATGTCAATCGAAAAGCATTCAATTACTTCACTTGTTAATGGTTTCGTTCAATCAAATTGCAGGCCATCGATGGAACTGTACGCAAGTCTGGAAGAAAGATGTTTTCTCACACATTGTCATTGTTGGTAAGTACTATTTTGTGTTCTCCTTTGTTTTTTTTTTTTTTGTTGTTCGCCGTGTCTTGTCGATGAATTCCCATCGTCAAATAGAGTGAACGCGCGTACTGTCAACAACACACTCACTCCACACAAAAGTGTCCAATGCCCACGGCTTACATCAAAGATCACTTTTTGACCATCGCAAACACAACGAGAATCATTTGTTTTAAAAGCGCTTTTAAATACGTTGATTGTTTTTTTTTTCGTGTGTTTCTTCTTTCGAGCGCACAAAAACACGCACATTGTGCATACTTGAGCATTTTAATCGACGAGCGCCGTCGTTGTCGTCGCTGCTGTCGTCGCGCTGATCATTTTATTTCTTCATTAATTGTTCGAGTTCTGTTTTTATCGTATCGCTCTCTCATCGGACCTTTTAATTGCTGTCATTGCAATAGAGTGGCACGAAAATTATTCAATTTCGATCGTTGTTTTTTGGTTTCTTTTTGAAATAAGTCGAAACGAACCGGGGATTGAGAGCATGAGTTGGAATGTGTCTATGTGTATAGAATCAAGATGAATTGGTTTGGTTCGATGAATTTGTTTAGGCAACCAATCTCTGTCGGCTAAATCAAGGCTCATTCGTTCTTGAGCGAGTTCTGATGATTTTTCGATAGTCGCAGCAACAGCAGCAGCATAAGTTTGTGAGGTGTCTGACGAAATTGGCTATTGGCGACACAAATCAACCTATAAATTGTCCGTATATCGCCTTGTAATTGGTTGAAGAGTTTGATCGCTCGCGTACCAACCTATCGCCACACTCTACCTACATTTGGTGCATGTACAACAATTTTTGTCGTTTCTCCTCTCTGATTGAGAAAGAGAAGTGAAATCAAAATATGCTTTTAAAAAAAAGAGCCCAAACATATCGCCGACAATCAAACAAAACCGACAACAAACAGAAACAACGAACGAAAAAGAAATATTTGGAATCGTGTGCAGTTTGTGAAGCCAGCGAGCCACGAAGCGAGCAACGGAGACGGCAAAAGAGTCGACGAAAATGAATTGAAGCATATAAAAGCTTTTGTCGCCCACCAACGCGCTTCTGTTTGCCCATAAAAAATTATTAGATTTTAATTAAAATCGCGTAAGATGCGAGCGAGTGTGAGAGTGGAAAAAACGAACGCGCCTCACACCTAAAAAGGCAGAGCACGATATGATAAAGTCAAGATAGAGTTGTTGAAATTGTAGAGCATATGCAACAGAGACGAGTTTTGCCATTGGCCGATAGTCGTGCGTTTTTTTATTGTCAGCCGCAGCCAGAATGTTTATACACCATTGTCATACGAAAATGACACGCGCGCGCAAGCACTCTCGAAACCTCCAATTGAGCGGTGCCATGGCCGGACGACAATTCTTTTATCAACAAATTCCACCAGAGTGAGAGAAAAAAAAAACGGTGAATCAAAATGATTACAAATATGAAACGGTCGCAAATGACAGTGATAAATTTGCTGAGAAGTTAACTTGAGAGCAAAAGAGGCGAACCAGACCTTCTCTCGTCTCTCTCGATATCTGGTAGCGAAACACTTTTTACACTCCGTTCCGCATCTGTTCAGGCACATAAAAAAAATTAAAAAAAAAAAATGAGAAACGGTTGCATTTTGTGTCGCACACTCTTTTACCCATGATCGAGATGCGACAATTTATGCATGACATTAATCTCTTCAATACACATATTTTTCAATGCAACAGAGAAGGAAAAATTGTAAACGTATAAATATTTTATTTGCGACACCACGTTTGCCACCTAAATTTCGGTCCGTTGAGAATGAGTTGACAACGAGAGAAAGAGAGAGAGAGAGAGAAAGAGACAGAGAGAGAGAGAGAGGATCAGCGGAATGAAAGGAAAAAAAATATATTTGCCAAAGATTTTTTGAACGAATGAAAAGAAAAAATGAGGAAAAAAAGAAATTAACAGAGATAGAATGAGATAGACCGACTCTTTGCGCATGGCTTCAAGAGCGACAAAGACTGATAAAGTTTGGAAAAATTGCAAAAAAGTGTTGAAAAATCTGAAAAGCATTTAAATGAATGAACCAGAGCATGAAGGGACGAAAATTGCTGAAGAGAGTAGTGAGATGACCTAAGAATGTACTGAAAAGAGCGAATTTTTTTGAAAAATTGGGGAAAAAATTAGAAATTTGCAAATAAAACTTGGAAAAGGGTAAGAAATAATTGATAGAGAGCAAAATATATTATTTCTATCATTTTTATACACTGAATATAGCAGAAAATTCCATTTAAAAGTGGAACATGGTCAAAAATGGCGTAATTGGAAGTGACAATTGGCAAAAAACACTCGAATGTTTTGATAAAAGCAAAAATGAGAAGAAATTGCGTGAAAAATTTTAAAAAGGAAGGAAAATGAGAAAAAATGTCCCAAAAGTGTTTGAAAAAACCGTAAAAAACCGCATAAAACCTACAAAAACCAGTCAGTGTTACCAAAAAAAAAAAACTGGAAAAACTCGAGAGAAGCGACGAACCTTTAGTAGGCCCCAAGTACAAGAATGAGAAAGACTAAAAAGGATTGCCCCTTGCACTGCACTCTGTGCCAAATGATCGACGGTGCGAACGCTTCTGTTCTCATCACGATGCGTTCAACCAGTGTACAATTGCACGCTGACTCCTTTGCGAGACCATGAACTACACTTGGGCATTTTTCTGCTTTTGTTATTTGTCCGATAATGAAATATGTGTATTTCGGTTGCGTGCGTGACAAACGCAAAGATTTATTGCGGATCACCTTGATTATATAATAATCTCTAAGTAATGTTGGTGCACACGGACTCCGGTTCGTATTCTCCTCTTTCATATTCGTTGTTCCTTGATTGTGGACGCAGACGACGTTGTAAATTGCGTTCAGAACGAAAAAAAAAAACATTCGCAATCGCAATGGAAATTTCAATTCATTTTAATATAATTGAAAAAGAAGAAGAGGAGAAGTGCTTTGTGCTATTCGAATGTGAATTGCTCGCTTCGACTGTTTATGATATGTCAAATATAAAGAGCTATAAACCGTGGTCTTGCGCTCGTTTTGCAAAATTCTCATAAGAATGAATCGTGCACGAAAACGGTGATGCGCCAACTCAAACACACACACACACACAGATTCATTTATTGATATGCGGCTGGTTCGCATCTAAAATCGAATCTATTTACTTTGAACGTCACGATGTGAATTGGCTGAATAAATGGAAGCGAACCGCACCAATTAAAATTGAATGAACGCAAACAACCGAATAAACGAGCAACAACAACGAGCGCCTAGTGCCTAGGTGCTTTACCTGATCATTTTTTTTTTCGTGGAAACGATAATGGCCACACAAACCAATGGAAAACGATCAATGCACATCACGAAACGGCCACAGAACATCAGACGCAACGAGAGTGAAAGAGAATTTTAAAATCCAAGAGAGTGAGAAGGAGAGGAAAATAAAACATCGCCCAGCAATTAATTAAAATCCAATTAAAATGGGCGGGCGGCTTTTATGCGCAAAAAAAAAACACAATTCGGTTTTCGGTTTTTTTTTACTCGCAGAAGAACAACGATTCACTTCAGTATGATTTGTGAATGTGAATCTTTGCAAGCGAATGAATCTTGTTTGGCAACAATTTCGTAACACCACATCACTCGCATCGACAGAACAGACCCAATAAATATGCGACACACAAATTTGTATGACCATTTCGAGATGATTTTCAAGTCTTTTTTTGTCGAAGAGTTCTTTTGTTGCGATTTTTATTTGGTTTTTTCGTGATTTTTTGCAAATTTTATGATCTGTTTTCACTTGTTAGTTTATGATTTAATACGTAGTCGTAGTCATTCAAAGGTAGAATATTTCAAATATTACATTTGTGTAATTTGTCGTACTCATGAACGTATACTCGGATCGAAAATTTTATGCATCGAAATCCAAATTCCATTTTTTTAATCCCATAAAAATCCTAGGGTGATCTGGAATGCACCATTTATCCTTATTCATCATTCATCACCTTTTGACAGTCAAGATAGCGTGGACTCCATACTGTGGAGTGACCAAAAATGAGTTTTCATTAGGATACATAGTATCTTGGCCGTCGAATTAAACCTAAATTTGAGAGAAATCTACGACTGCTAGTGTCAAATGTAAATGCACGTAAATGCTGCATAATATTAAACGCACCCATTAATTTTTCATTGTTTTCCTATTAAGAATGGATGTATTTAGTATTATGTGACTAGCAGTCGTAGTGTTAAATAGAATTTTGAACGAATTAATTGAAATAAAAGAAAAACATTTGCAATTTTTCAAATCTTGGATCAAAATGGTGCATTCGAATGCTTCAATGGTCAGTTTGATGGGTAATTGAATGAATATTGAATCAAGCAACAACAAAAAACGAAGAAGGGAAAAAAGAGACAGAATGAGAGAAAGAAATGATTGAAATCAAATCGCCCATATCCGGCCACTTGTGGTCGTGCAAAGGATCAATTTCGCTTGATATGTGTAATTGTGCGTAAAGGTGTGTAATGATAGTGTAATCGTGTAATGAAATGGTGATTATGTTGTATGAAATTAGCGTTGAGTAGCAAGTGTCTGTCGTGTTGAAACACAAAAAGTGGCTATCGTGATTATGCGAAGCATCATTTGAATTGGCACGGCTTCAAATTACTGAAAACGTAACGCTGTAATTAAGCAGGTGCATAAAAGAAATCGTTGCAAGGCTGTTAATTAGACGATATTATTCGCTTTTTTCCGTTTATTCCGAATGAATATTTAAATTTCATTGTAAAAATTGAATTTGAAAGAAGAGCTGGAATGAAAAAAGAGCTTGGAACAGAGCTTATTAAGAGAGTTTATTCATAAGCCTTTTTTCAGGATGGGAATCTTTAATTATTTGACCTTTTTGATGCTTTTGGAAGAATTTTCATTTTATTTTTTTCAAGAATCTTCAAGGAAACACTCAAATTGGCTGTCTCAAGAAAG